GGAACAGGGATGTTACGGAAGCTCGAACCTTCCCGAAGGAGGTTTCGGAAGCAATACACATATGAACATTCCTTAGGTGCATTTGGAAGAATGGAGGTGATTGTAACCCTCTTGGAATGGCAGAAGTCTGCCGGGGAAACACGGGCTCAAGGCTATACCGTGGACTTTACACATATGGGATCCACTTAGGTCTTACATATGGAACCCAGCCTTCTACCAATTCTCGAGGATTCAACGAGTGAAGGCCTGGCGCCGGACGCTTCCGCCATGTCTGGCTGCCGAGGGGACGGAGGAACTCAACAGGGTCAACTATATGGACTCTCTGGAGTAGTTTTAGCAAGCCGACCCGAAGCCGGGGCTTCTCAGTGCTTCTACCCGTTTGAGGTGAGAACACAGGAGGATACCGGCTCCACACAAAGGCTATAGAATTTAGCGAACGTGTTATATCTGTGTTATACCTACAGATATCCGCCAGCGAGGCGCCACGAGCCAGCGCCCAGGAGGATGCAACACTTCTGGTAGAGTGAGCTCGCAACCTGAACAGGCAGGGCACACCCTGTGCCTGATAAGCCAGGGTGATGGCATCCACTATCCAGTGGGCCATCCTCTGCTTAGAGACGGCATTCCCCTTCTGCCGGCCTCCGTGACAGACAAAGAGCTGGTCTGAGGTCCTGAAGCTTTGCGTCCGGTCTACGTAGCACCTTAAGGCTCGGACGGGACAGAGCAAAACTAGGACTGGGTCTGCCTCCTCCGGAGGGCAGCGCTTGGAGTTCACCACCTGATCCCTGAAGGGAGTAGCGGGAACCTTGGGCACATAGCCGGGCCTCAGGGTTACCTGGGAATCAGCCGGCCCGAACTCTAGGCACGAATCGTTGACCGAAAATGCGTGCAGGTCCCCTCTTGATGGAGGCCAATGCCAGCAGGAGCAAAGTCTTCATCGAAAGGAAAGCTCAACTGTCTGCAAAGGCTCAAATGGGCCCTGTTGTAGTGCCGTGAGCACTAGAGTCAGGTCCCAAGAGGGTATAGAGGGGGGCCGTGGAGGGTTTAACCTTCTCGCCCCCCTTAAGGAACCTGACGACCAGGTCATGCTTCCCCAGCGACCTCCCTTCTACGGGGTCGTGGTTAGCAGCGATTGCAGCGACATAAACTTTAAGGGTGGATGGAGACAGCCTTCGCTCCAACCCTTGCTGCAAAAAGGACAGCACAACTCCGATCGGGCATCTTCGGGGGTCTTCTCGGCGAGAAGAACACCACTCAATGAACAGGTTCTACTTCAAAGCATAGGCGTGTCTCGTAGACGGTGCTCTCGCCGAAGTGATGGTGTCGACTACCTCTTGAGGTAGGTCACTCAGAACCTCCGTGTCCCGTCTAGGGACCAGACATGAAGTTTCCAGAGGGCTGGATGCGGTTGCCAAAGGGTGCCCCGTCTCGGAATCAGTAAATCCTTCCTCAGAGGAATCGGCCAAGGAGGGGCTGTCGCGAGGAGGTAAAGTGGACGCCCCTGAACTTGGGAGGGCGCCGGGCAAACTGAATCGCATAGCCGAGCCTGATGGTTCGAAGGAGCCATCGAGACGGGCTGGGTAGCTCTAGCCAGGCTCCCAGACACCGCGTAAGTGGCATCAACGGAACTACAGGCGTACCCGCAGTGGGGCAGCGCGGAAGAACGTGGAAGAACGCAGGGACCCGGCCCGGGCGTCTCGGTGCCAGTCCGAGGCGGGGTCTGGGTGTGTGTAACACTGACCTGCGTTTGAGCAGAGGGTGCGTGGGTAGTCCGTTGGTTCGTCCTCCCGATATGCCCACTGCTGCTCACTGGCGAGAGTGGAGGGTGACTGTGATACGGCTCTGGATCGTCCACAACCCCCCGTCCCCTAAGGGGACCCAGAGGTAGAAGAAATTGCTCTTTTGTCGAGTATTTGGGTACCACTGACCGCGAGGGCCTCTTGCTCTTTCGCTTACCACCAGGTCTGGCGGGGGCCGCCCTCGGTGACGAGCGGGCTGAGGCGCTGCCACCGGCGGCCAGTTGGAGGCAGCAGGTGCACGCCGGGGCAGGATGTACCTGATGGCCTCAGTCTGCTTTTGGGCAGCGGAGAACTGCTGGGCAAAGTTCTCCACCGTGTCGCCGAACAGGCCGGTCTGGGACACGGGGGCATTCAAGAATCTTGTCTTGTCTGTCTCGCGCATGTCGGCCAGACACAGCCAGAGATGGCGCTCCTGGACCACCATAGTGGACATTGCACGACCCAGAGACCACGCCGTAACCTTCATCGCTCATAGCGGGAGGTCCGTTGCGGTGCGGAGTTCTTTGAGAACTTCCGGGTCTTGACCACCCTCGTGCAAGTCCCTCAGTGCCTTAGCCTGGTGCACTTGCAGTAATGCCGAAGAGTGTAAGGCGGACGCAGCTTCTCCACAGGCCGTATAAGAACTGCCGATCAAGGCCGACGAGTGCCTACAGGCCCGGGAGGGGAGCAATGGTTTGTCTCATCTTTTTAAGTGGGAGAACTTGCACAATTGGTGGCTGACTAAATACTTTTTTTCCCCACTGTATATATATATATATATATATATAGGCTTACTTTCGCGCGCCACCCCGAGAACCCAATCGTCCAACCTTGAGGGTTCGGGACGCGGTGGAAGATTTCACTCGAGCCCGACACTCTCGGCGGCCCGGGAAAGCATAGCCATCATTTCCGGGCAACCAGAGGGCGGCAACGCTGACGGATCTTCATCCCCGGAGAAATCCGGCTCACCCTCCGATGCTGCAACCGACATCCGGTCGTCGGGGGGAGCCTCGGATGAAACGGGTGGTACCCCCCGGGAGGGTCCAGCCTGCTCTTTTCAGAGCTCCGCTGGTTTCGGGGTGCCGGCTGGCTGGGGCATCTCCGGAGGGGAATTCCTCACCATGACCGTAAGACCAGTCCGCCCACTGCCAGAAGAAGGGTGCCCCCAGCTGCCGCCAGAGGGAACCCCAGATCTAGGCAGTGGCACGGGCACTCCGCCCCCTTGCAGGTAACGGAGTCTGGTCCGCAACTCCAAGATGGTCATACCCCCGCAATGGGAGCATGAGTCATCTACGAAAGCCACCTCAGGGTGCTTCATGCCCAGACACGAGAGGCAGCGATCGTGACCATCACCCGGCGCCAGGTAACGACCGCACGCAGAAACACACGGATGGTACGACATCTTTAAAAACACGTTCCACCCGTGAAGCTCTTTTAGATGGAATTTGCTCTTTTAGTGTGCTGAAGCGCACAGGGGAGATGGCCGTCTGCAGCACACACAAGGGTAGTGCAGCCTGTTGTGTGCAACCCACTCGACACGGGAAAACCACCGCCGCTGAAGCGCCGTCCACCAGCACGAGAGCCCACGAAGAGCGTGCTTGACTGTAGCTTTACTCTTAGAAGGTCAGTAGCAGAACGATAGAACCGCTCGGCTCCGAAGCGAAAAGCTGAATATGCGCTGCATCTGCTGCCTACTTATACTCACGCTGTGATCAGCAGCAGCTGGATGCAATAATCGCATGACAATGTGCATTGGCTCGTTTAGTTTACACTCGAAGTAGATTGGTCTCTCTAAGCGAGATCCCAATTCGTCGGTCATCCGACATGACGTTGAGAGTGACCGACTGAAAGGGAACCCTATGTCTAATGCTCTCATCTCTCCAGTGTAAACTCTCAGACTTTATGAATCATAATCATTGTCAAAAAAGAAAACATTTCGGAACTATTAGGAGGCTCAGGTGTACCTCAGGGCAGATCCTTTAGGTGTGGCTACTCCATAGCCCTTTGAGTCCAGGTTTCCTCCCACCTTCATGGTGTCACATGGTTTGCGCTGCTCAATGTATTCGTTCATTGTGGACTCCAGCAGATACGCATACTTCCCTTTGGACTTCCTCACCCGCACGACACCTTCGTCTGTCGTCTTCACAAACACAGAAGGCTCTGTAGACTTCATGTAGGACCACATCTTCTCAAATACCGCAATCTTCGATCTCTGAGGATGGATATAATGACGTTAGATTGATCAAAAGTGACAGTAAAGACATTTATAATGTTACAAAAGATTTCTATTTAAATAATAGAATCCTGAAATAAATGTATAAGTTTTCACAAAAATATTAAGCAGCACAACTGTTTTCAACATTGATAATAATAAGAAATGTTTCTTGAGCACCAAACCAGTATATTAGAATGATTTCTGAAGGATCATGTGACACTGAAGACGAGAGTAATGGCTGCTAAAAATTTAAATATATTTAAGAGTTTATTTCAAATTGTAATAATATTTCACAATTTTTTATAAATTTTTTTTAATCTACAGCAGTGATAATTATCATTGAAAAACAACTTAAATTTCCGGCTTTTCCTCAGAAATGCTTTTTCTGTTTTTGTATTTTTAAACTTAAATTTAAAACAGGCACCTGATATCATGGTTATCAGAGTGTTGCATCATTTCAGGTAGTTCAGAACAATTTTTGACCAATTCTCTCTTTGAATACTGTATGTACAAATAAAACATGCAAAAATTGAGAAGCTACAACAGCTTCTCACCAGGGTAGTACCCTCTTCTTTGTACCTTATCTCCTAAAGGGTGCATATTAATACCTTGAGGCTGAATATTGGTATCTTAAAGGAACACTCCACTATTTTTGAAAATAGGCTCATTTTCCAACTCCCCTAGAGTTAAACAGTTTAGTTTTACAGTTTTCGAATTCATTCAGCCGATCTCCGGGTCTGGCGGTAGCACTTTTAGCTTAGCTTAGCATAGATCATTGAATCTGATTAGACCGTTAGCATCTCGATCAAAAATGACCAAAGAGTTTCTATATTTTTCCTATTTAAAACTTGACTCTTCTGTAGTTACATCATGTACTAAGACCAACGGAAAATGAAAAGTTGTGATTTTGTAGGCCGATATGGCTAGGAACTATACTCTCCTTCCGGTGTAATAATCAAGGAACTTTGCTGCCGTACCATGGGTACAGCAGGCGCAATGATATTACGCAGCGCCTGAAAACAGGCTTATTGGAAGTTACCTAGCTGGGACTAATTTCAGGCGCTGCGTAATATCAGACCCGGAGATCGGCTGAATGGATTCGAAAACGGTAAAACTCAACTGTTTAACTCTAGGGGAGTTGGAAAATTAGCCTATTTTCAAAAACAGTGGAGTGTTCCTTTAAAGTACTAATATGCATGTTTTAGTGGAAGATACGGTACAAACCTAAGGCACAATCTTTGAGGGTACTGACAAAAATATAATTTTTGCACATCTTTTCTGAGAGTATAGTGAAGTACTTCCCTCTTACCCTGAAGAACTCTTTGGTGGATCCTCCATCCAGAGTCCCATAGGCAATCTCCGTTTGCTTAGCCAGATCCTCTGCACTCTCGATGGGTGACACCATCCTTTCCACAGTGAGGAAGGCAGCCAGGTTGGCTGTGTAGGAGGAGATGATAATCAGAGTGAAGAACCACCACACACCTCCAACTATACGACCAGAGAGAGATCTGTGGAAAAAAAACACACAGGTGGTTAACAGCCTGACATATTATAGCGATCTCTATTAAATTAGACTCATATTGAAGAGTCCTATTTTTAATATGATTTTCATTTCTAGCTGTGCACAAAGTGGAAAGATAACGATTAATTAATAAATTAATTACTTTATCAGCAGGCATATATGATGAAGAAAGGGCTTCTTAATGGCTGATCTAGTTATAAATCGGATCCTGATCAGGATTTAAACAAAAGCAAAGGCATTTTCGGCCTCTGTATTGCAGAATTTAATTATCATCAGAACTTTATCATCAAAATGTTTGAAACATCAAAACGAATGACCGGAGGACTGCTGCGGTTACAATAAACATCTTAGAAATATACTGTAAAATGGTGTTGCTTTCCTTAAAAGAGCTGCTGGATGCATTAAAATGGAATAAGCTACTGTTATACACACACATACTGAGAAAATATCCACATTTTTTTAAAGCCACATTTCCGAAATTACAAGCAGTTTATGAGAGATGCCGGTATGCAAGAATGATTCCCAGTATTTTAAAAACACGGCAAAGAAATTCAGATTGTTATATTTATTTTTGGATATATTCAATGGTGCAATAACATCAACATCAAAAGAGATTTAAATTGAGAAAACAGCTTGTTCTCATGGATTCAAGTAATGCACAAGTCAGCATTTTTAAGATGCGTAAATGAAACGAGTGGAAAGAAAAAGTCTCCCAGAAGTTGTAAGGCAAAATTAACTTGCTTGTGTAAATAATAATAAAAGAAAATTAAGGCATAACCCTGCATGTTTTTGTCCAGAAGACATGGCCTGCTTTGATCTGTGACTTCTCAATACATGTCTATTGATCTCAGTGCCTCAAACATTGAAAACATTCTTCACTGTTCCCTTTGAATAAAAGTCTTAAATTTAATCAAAGATCCTGTTCTGCCGAGCTTGCACTAAAGTTCTACTTTCCAATACATGCTGCACACAATTCCACCCCTTTTCACTTTCAAAGGAACTATATTCTCTTTCAGCTTCCAATTATATTATCAGTTATTTTAAAGGGGCCAATAAACCACTTTGAATTTTTATAGGGAAGCAAAATGTCCTGCATTATAAAGGGGAACTTGTTGGAATGTTAATACATGTTAGATATTGAATTGATCCAGAACAGAAATTATAGTTCATGCTACTAATAAAAGTCTACAAAATTTAGTATTGTCAACTTAAATGCCATTAACAGAACTACAATCTAATTATTTCACACACACACACACTCTTTATCATGTCAAGAGCACAGTAAAAATAAATAAATATATACTCGCTAATATATTTGATAAAAAATTCAGCATTAAACAGTAATACTGTAAAATATTATTACAATGTAAGATAACTGTTTTTATTTGGATACATTTTAAAATGTAATTTATTCCTGTAATTGCAAAGCTGAATTTTCAGCATCAACGCTCCAGACTTCAGTGTCACATGATCCTTCAGAAATCATTCTAATATGCTGATTTGGTGCTAAATAAACATTTATTATTATTATCAATGTTCAAAACAGCTTCTTAATATTTTATGTAGGAACTGTGATACTTTTTTAAAGGGGTCATTGGATGTGACATACACTTTTACAAGTAGTTTGAACTGTTTTTTTAATCTACTAAAATCATTACCTCTTTCTCAAATCAAGCCGTTCTCAGCTTCTTGTCTGTGTGACATCACACAGACCCTAGCCCCTCCCATGATTGTTGATTGACACACGCGTTTCACCTTAGACCCGCCCTGAGTGAGCTGTCATCAGTCCGCTATTGTTTCACCGCCGGAGCAGATGTAGACAAGAATGGCTCCTAAGCAATTGAGGTGTTTTGTTGTTGGATGTAATAATGAACATAGCAGTCGTCATTTACTCCCAACATCTGAGCCGCTGAAAACGCAGTGGATTACCTTTGTTTCTGAAAGGAATGCACCCACGATCTACCTAAATGCATTTATGTTCGCGCGAATCATTCGTGATCCAGCCTCACCTAACGTTACAGAAGAAGTGAGTATAAGGTTTTTTTTTTTATGAATCTTCTCAAATAGCCTTTCCTAATAACGTGCTAGTTAGCAAGTTTCACGATGAATGCGGCTAAAGTTTACTGTCTCTCAGAGAGCTGCTCGGAAGAGAGGGGCAGGGTGAGCAGAGCTCATTTGCATTTAAAGCGGCATGCAAGAAAACGGCTTGCTCTGAAAAGAGCTGTTTTTGGCAAGGTAAAAAGGGTGTTGTTTTACGCTACCATTGAGAAATTTTAACAAAAGTATGTTATAGACTTTTCATTAAGACCCTAAAGAATCATATTAACTTGTGGAAAATGGGCATCCGCTGATCCCTTTAAGGATTCTTTGATGAATAAAAATAATATATTTTTTTATTTGTATACATTTATATTTTGTATAAATATAAATTTACTGTAACTTTTGATCAATTTATTGCATCTTTGCTGAATTAAAGAATTCATTTATTTAAAAAAAAATGGTAGTGTATATTATTTTATTTTTTGTGAGAATTGCATTCTGGTTCAATCATGACCTATGTAGTGTTCTGCATTTAGGAAAAAAAGTGAAGTGTATTACATCTCTTACAAGAGAAATAGCTCAAAAGAAATAATGCAAATAAATGAAAAAGAGGAAAACGACAGTAAAGTAAAAACCTCCCTTAACTCACCGCCTACCTCACATCAGACTGTCTCTCTCTCATTCTGTTATACACTGCTTATCTTCGTTGTCTCTCTCACCTACTCGGTTTCCCTATTTTCACATGTCCGCTCAGCTGTAAGAAGTGTGATATGAAGTTGACTTCCATTCACTCTGTCAAACAGACGAATGCAGCTGTTTTGTGAGGTACGTCTACCTTTATAACCATCAAAGTCAGTAGTGTGTTTGCAAACAAAAAATTATCACCACAATAAATTCTTGTCTCTGTGTTCTTTGTGGATTTAAGTGAAATGCCGCATTAAAGCGATATTTGCGATATGATTGGATATGACAGGTTATGTTCGGCTGTGATTGGTTCATGCTATAAATCCCACCTTTCGTGATTAAGTCTGAATACAATAATACAACAATATAATGCCGTTAACGGGAAGACTAATTTAAAAAAGTAAACAAACAACACACACTTATATATAACCACTTTGTTACATCAAAATAAGACTTGAAATGGCCTGAAAACATGATCTGTGGGAGTTTTTAGTGAGTAATTTTTTGGGGGTGAAATCCATGTCTGTGAACAATATTTACAGAGATTTGGTGACTGATGTTTTGAAAAAAAAAAAAAAAAAAAAGTTAAAAGTTAACCATTAAAAAGAATAGCTAAACATAAGTTCACAAATAAAATATATGGTTTAAATTGTTACTGCTTTAAGTTATTATTTTGGAATAAATGTAAAATGCATAAAACACTTCATGAGCTTCATACTTGGCGTTAATAAACAGACTATTGATTACATTGTTAATGCATAAGTAATTAGTGTAAGTAATGTTTTAATGAATTTACATTTGATTAAAAAAAAAAACTTTCTGAGGACTTTGCCTTCTCATTTTAGACCACCGCACACCATTACAGGTTCACAAGTATCTGAACATAGGCAACTTGCACATTAGAGGAATACCGGCAGTGCAAATCCCCTAATGAATACTCCAAATGAATTATCAAACTAATCCGTAGAATAAGGGTCACTCCTACACTGAAAGCAAAGTAAAAGGTTCTCATGGACAAACATTCTTTCAAACACCCTCAATAATGTCTCCACGGAGACACGACAACTCACAATAGAGCTGTAACAAACTAAAAATAAAAGTCTCCTTGTCGTTCCACTTTGTAATGCTGCAAAATGTCTGTTCCATTAAAGAAACGCGGATGGCTGCTGTTGGGAACGTTGCGACATGCTGATCGTCTCTGGTGTCACAGTTCTGTTAAACACTGCAGAACATTTCCAAACACTCGGGATGGCAAGGCCACCTCGACAGTGGGAAAGGCCTGAGCGAGACTTCCCTCCAGGCTTCTATGTATGTGTGTTTGTATTGTGAAATTACACTAATATGCTTGTGACCTAAATGTGTGACCTAACGTAATGTATATGTGACCTGCTGGTGTCATTGTGTATGGAAGTGTTTGTAAACGGGAGAGTATTTTTGTACTTTGGAAAAGGAATCTGGACAAAGTTGAAGTGACAGTCGGAGGCCCGCGGGAGGAAGGGGGCACCACGGCGCCTGGGTTGAACTGTCATGCTCGCTGCAGAGCCTGATGGTCTGACCCCACACAAACACACAGAGACACAAAAAACACACTCCATAGCTCAAATAATGATCCTAAGGCACACAACATGTATTGCTTCCTCAGGGTTACTACTCGCTCTGTTTCTCAGTCACACACACATTTCTTCATGCTCATATCCTGGAGCGCACTTGGATTATTCTTCAGCAGGTGTGAACAGACAGATCATTGGCCTCAAGGCCAATTTAAATCATTGGAAAATTAATCTGGCCTTTATGCGACAGCTTTCCAAGGAGTCATATCTACACCGTTCCTCATGTGAGCAATCTTCATAGTAATAGTTCAGTGGAGGTCATTCTATCTATTGTAATTGGGTTTTACTGTTGAAAACACCTATGGCTAAAATAACTTACATTTTCACTTTATTTTCTAAGGTGTCAAGATTTGGCTGGTTAGCGTAGCAAAGTTAGCTCTTGCTGGTAGATGTTGTAACTACATCTAGACTAAAATGCATCCAGCTTTTACTCTTTGATTACAAAAGTTGCCATGTGCTCTGATGAATTAAAATGTAAAAATATAAGACACATAAATAATATATAAATATCAATACAGTATATACACAATTAAAGATTATTGACAGAATGATAGACAGACAGAATAACATACATTATGACAGACAGAAAGATAGAAAGACCAGACAGAATGATAGACAGACCAAACAACAAACAGAACGATAGACTAACAGA